CATCGCATTAAGTATACTTTAGTACGCATATGTTGCATTCTCCATTTAGTACGAATAGTAGATAGTTCTCTCTCTCTCTCTCCCTCCCTCCCTCCTAAGCTACAAGATTCCAGCAGCTGCATTGATTTTTACAGATACCAAACTTCCTTCACTTTCCAGAAACACCTGCTCCATTCTGCTCCTTGGCTGCATGAGGATGGCCCGGGCCACGGAGAGCCGCTGCTTCTGGCCTCCAGACACTTGACCTCCACGGTCCCCAACGTTGGTGTCGTAGCCCCCTGGGAAACCCAGAATGAAATCCTGATCAAAAGAGCTGGAAGAAATGGAGTGATGCACAAAATCTGGATATCTGGGCTCTTCAGCAGAAGTGACGGATGGTGAAGTCAAAAATATAAGCCGTTAAAACTGTGATGTAACTAACTCATAACTTGAAAAATGCAGTGCGGCGGTAATCCTTGACTGCAGACTGCGTTGGGCACTGACTGCGCCGGGCGCGCTGAGTGTGCTGGTTTCGCTGGGTGCGCTGGGTTGGGTGCACTGGTTGCGCCCGTTTCGCTGACACTGAATTCGCGAGAAGATGCAAGAGAAGTGCAGGTGCAAGCGAAGAGTCTGTAACGTAGCGTGCAGCACGAGTTCTATTCCACATGAACTTTGAACAGCATGGAGCAAAGCATCAACTCTGTGTGGAGGAAGGTGTAGGTGAAGAGTAGCATCAAGCTGCGCGCAACGTGAACAGCCTGCAGCGTACCATCAAGAACATGCGAAAGAGCAAGCCAACATGGCGGCAAGCATGTGTGCGAGTGCAAGCGAACATTCAACGATGTAGAAAACCTGTGCAACAGCAGGTGAACATTCTACAGCATAGCATCAAGGCTGCCTCTAAGATCAGGTTAGGCTATTGTCCAACTATTTTTTTTTGATTCTTTTCTTGAAGCTGCTCTCTAACAGCGCAACTAAGAAATAGCAGACAATAAACGATATTTTTTCAAGATGGCCCAAATTTCTTTTGGTAAAAATTATACGTCCTACCGTTATTATAGAAGATATTCGAGACTTATCGGAGAACCGATCTTCTATTTAAAATTGGTTTGGGGGCGCAGAAAAATCAATTTTTAAATAGAAGACAAATGAATTCAAAGACCAAAAAAGGGCAGAATATCCGGGATGTTGGAGGTACTTTTGCACCCTCCGCAACCATGATCCCGAGAGGGTTCAAACTAATCGAAGGAAGTTTAGAAGCTAAACTTCCGACAATATGGACAGTTGAAACGCAGAGCAGGGAAGAGGCAGAGAGAAGAGAAAAGATCAGAAGAAAGAAGAGGTAGATGCGCGAAAAGATAGGAAAGTCGCGATTCCCTGTGTTTTTCCAATGATTTGAGGCTCCGGAGGGAGGCTCGCTAAAGCGGCGGGTGCGGAGCCAGCTGGCCAGATGAGACATGAAAAAGTGCACGCCGTTGTGGCGCGAAGCACATTTCCAAGTCAAAATGGACAAAGCACTAGAGGAGCGGACCACTTTTGGAAGTTGCGATGTCGAAAAAGTGCACGCCGTTGTGGCGCGAAGCACATTTGGAAGGCAAAATGTACAAAACACACCATTCTCGGAGCACTTTTGGAAGTTGAGATGTCGAAAAAGTGCACGCCGTTGTGGCGCGAAGCACATTTCCAAGTCAAAAGTGTTAAAAACACCAGGGTTTCGGACCACTTTTGGAGGTTCGGATGTCGAAAAAGTGTCAAAAAAGTGCACGCCGTTGTGGCGCGAAGCACATTTCGAAGTCAAAAGTGTAAAAAACTGAGGGTTTTGAGCCTTTTTTGACGTGAAGATGTCGAAAAAGTAGACGCTGATTAACTTAACTAACTTAACTAACTTAACTACCCTAACTTCGACGACAACAGCAACAGCAACAGCAACAACAACAACAACACCAACCACAACAACTACAACTACAACAACAATAGAGAGATAGATGGAGAGATAGATAGATAGATAGATAGATAGATAGATAGATAGATAGATAGATAGATAGATACATAGAAAATAGATGGGTAGGTAGGTAGATAGCCAGAGAAAGAGAGAGAAAGAGTGAGAGAGATCAAGCACCTTTCAGTCCATCAGTGGCTTCTCTCTGCCATCCCTGATTCACAACAACCAATTTCTCCTATAGGTTTCCTATTTTTGAAACTTCCGCCACCGCCTTGTGCGGTACTACTATGTACTACTGGTATCTTCTATTTAAAAACGCTTTAGACCAACACCAAAAGCATAAACTTGGTGGATCATCCATGATCATCCAACCGAATATCTTCTATTTAAAAATGGTTTATCGCACAATCTTGTCTTGAGAATTTGGGGCCGGTATAGTCAATATCTTCTATCTGAAATGGTCTTTGCCGCTCAAGACATTTCAAATAGAACATATTCGAATATATTATGCCTGCCCGCCCCTGCAAGCCCAGATTATCCAATTTATGTGCAGAACTCAACAAAACCTCGGTGTTTTGA